TCTGCTCAAGCTATTTACTGATCTGTCAGGTTTCCAATATGCGTCCCCCCCAATGACAGACTCGTTCCTACGCCCTTGATCGTGGGTATCAGAAAGTTTTGTGTTTCAAAACAGTGATATTAAACATTGTTTCATGATACCCTATTGATTTTGTAATATTGTTCCTATTTTATAACACTTCAGCACCGAAAAATGTGTGCTACATTTTCTACAGAATATATTTGGTTGCAGATTAATTACCGTGACTAAATATTAAAAATGCAGTAGCAATGTGTAACCTCAGTAGCTGGGGTTTCTTATGTAATGTGAAATGGCAAAAATAATTTAGTGAAAATCATGATGGTTTTCTGGTACTTTGCTGGGCAATGAATGCTTTTTGACTATATGTCTGAATCTTCAACACTGCATTGGATATGAATTACGGTTATCAAATAATACATATATGCCAACAGTGAAACAGTGTGGGGAAAAAAATGCAACCACTGTAAAAAAAAATTTACATTTAATTTTTTAAAAATAAGTTCAAACTATTCATTTTCTAATTTAGGACATGTTGATGGGCTTTCTTCTCTCTCACAGGAGAGAACAAGTGGCCCCTGGATGTCTGTCAGATTGGTCCTTTGGTGGAGCTAAAGGAGGTTCATGTTGACTCCCTCAACTTACAGCCCTGAGACCAAATGAGCCACTGAAAGATTTTTTCAGCATGGAGATGGAAAGTATAGAAAGACTGTATGGTAAATCCTACAACTCTTCAATGTACCGATTTCCTTAAGGAGATGGTCTCATATTTTCAGTAATGTCTTTTCTCAGCAAATTACTGTAAAAGCATAAATCTGAATGTTGTCCAGTCTCTTCCCATTGATTGATCCAGCAACATTTTAGATGCAAGAACTCAAAAATATAATTTGTAGTTGGCTATTGGTTCACTGTTTAAGTTGAATCTCTCGGTTGAGTCTGCATTTAAAAAGTCATATTAAAAAAGAAGTACACTTAGTAGTAGCTTCTTACATGGAGAATGTAGTTTTCATGTATAAATGATCTGGTCCTCACTAACCTCCACCAGTACCTTCAAATTGATCTCAATTTGTACTGATCCACACAGCACAGATTACATTGTGATATATTCCATAAAATATAATATGATTAATATAAATAAGTGATGGATGTTTGTATTCTTTACATTTAAAATGACAAGAAATGAGAATGGAAGGGTAGTAACTGACAGTTGAACAAAATTCAGATACATAAATTAATATTTTTGGCCGAAGATTAACAATGTCTTTAACTCAAAGACATTTATATAATATAATTTTTTTTTAAAGGCACATTGTTCAGAAACAGTGCCATAGCTTTTCTTTCATAGCAATTTGGGCACACTTCCTTATTGGTAATTAAAGTGCATCACTTTAACTTGCAGCCTGAAATGTGTGTCAGAAGCCAGAGGGCGTAGCATCAGTGAAGCACACCAGTTTGTGTTTAAGGATAGAGTTTCCTCTTGACACTCAGGAAGATAAAATCCACTGCTCACGTATTTCACCACTGCTACTAAGTGGGTGATCTATCATGCCTGAGTTACTGTATGCAATCTCACACGCACATGCGCACACACACATGGATACAACACACATACACTGGTAGAAATCAAAACAATGATGGTGATGCAAAAGATAAAGAAACAATCCACATATTATGGCATGGCAGCAAGCCGACAGGTGGTGACAGCGAGGAGAGAGAGATTATTGGATAATGCACACACACACGCCTAGACACACACTCACCCCTGTCCACGCACGCACGCACGCACGCACGCACGCACACACACACACACACACACAATATCAAGACACAGACACACTCAGAAAGTGAGATATGTCTTCTGGCACAGATATCTTCTCCACTGTAATCTTTTTGTCTACAAGGTGCACCAGGAGGACTGCTTACAAGAGTGAAAGAAAGGTTTACTGTTGTTTGTTCTCAAATGTTCATCCTGCTTTTGTTGAGCTGATCACATTAAACTTTACTGCAGTGATTTGATCCTTTCCTCATAGTGACATAGCAGGTGAGTGAAACAGTCACTCAAATCATGATGCAAGCATGAAATTTGGTACATGTATTCTACACAGATCATATTTTAAAGCACACCACTAGCCACACCAGAATTCAGTAAGACAATCTTTTTTTTCAGTGGCTTTCATATGACTAAGCACTACTGTCAAATAAGTGGAAGAAAAATACATAAATATTGTACTGTTCAGTTTTTACTTATTTATTTATTTTTGCACTGACATGATAACTGAAGGTAATTTTGTCCATACCAGTTGCATGTTATACTTAAACTGACATGGCATCCAAGATCAATTTGAAAATAAATGTTGTATTTTCTCAGATATTAATAGAGCTAGACAAATGACTTTTTAATCTAATCAAACAGAGAATTAGATAGGCTTGTCACATTAACCCATCAGTACCAAATGTGACTGGACAAAGTTGAGGAAGAACATATTGTAGGAAATTGCCTAATTCTTACAATTTATGTCCATGGTATCATTGGTAAAATCCTCCGAGAATCAAAGACCTTGACAGTCTGATTTACAGCCACATTTAGTCAGCTGTTTGCAGCTCTTGCCTATGGGAAAGTTGGCTTTTCAGAAGATATGCCAGTCCTCACCAACCTTATGCCATCACCAGTCAACAGAACTCTCTGCAGCCCTGTCAGGCTCTGGGTTGACTGGAAGGCATCCTGGAGCAGACCTGAGGCTGTAGTGTCCAATGTGGATGTAAACCCCTGGCTTCATCCACATTGGTAGCAGTGAAGTAGCATGACAAACCTCTCCAGTATCCCCAGTTCACCATCTTCCAGTGTAAGAATGTGCTGGCTCAGCTTGGAGAAGATATGGGAGGCCTCTGGGCAAACATCCCATGTCTGCCAGGCAGCTTTCTTTCTGTTGTTGTGTAAGGTTGAAACAGTGCTAAAGCACGTAAAGACATGAAAGAATAACAGTCCTCTAGCCTTCTCCTGCCCCATATAATGATACAGACCATGCACACTGATCCAGAGCAGGCTTTAACTTTGACGAGATCCAGAACTGCTCTAGCGTCAAACTCTGAAAGGCTGGAAAGGTACTCGGTGTTCCCTGGTTTTGTGGTGACATCACTTGATTGCAAGATCTCATCACTGCCCCAGCCCAGTCCAGTTCAGCAAATGTGAAAATGACTCCATTGGATTCTCTGACCCAAATAACACATATGCACACCAAACAATATTTTGCATATGTTCAGTAGTAGTAGAAGTTGTAGTTGCTCAAATATGAATAACTACAACTAGATATGAAATTTACAGATACCATATTAAAATTCCAATTATGATAAGAATTAAAACAGAGCTTCTCATTAACCTGGTTAGCAAGAAACTGTTTTTTTCTTAAAACGGCTATGTTACTTTTTAAAAATAACATCTAAAGCTTGTAATCGATTAGGCTTTTGTTGGTATTATGACATATTATTTAAAATTTTTCAAAAGTAAAAATGAAATAACCTGCTGAACATGTCACACATTGTTTTCCTATTTTCGACTTTAAAATTACCTGCATCTAAAAATAAATCCTCTGAGAGTTTTGGATTTTCATTAACTAAATAAAGGGATGATTTTTAATAGACTGTCAAACAGGAGAATCAATGTTTGTTCTCTTTCTGAATCCAGTATTTTCTCTCTCTCACTAAACTACCCACCTGTTTTCAGCCCTAAGTTCCTGATTAGGTACAAAAACAAACAAAACAATTTTTGATTGGGACTTAAAAAAAATCACTTGAAATCCTTGTGAATTTTGTTAGAACAGGCATTTCATATCTTATATGCTTAACCGTGTTCAAACAGTCATCAGTCATCAAAATACAAAAAGTATTCAGCAGTAAAATCAAAAGCATCATAGATCTCTCTTCTTCACACACAAGCAGCATATTACACTCTGCATCAGTATAGATCCAACATCTTTGGCCAAGTAATGTTATAGTTTGTGATGAGAAAATATTTTACAGAGCTATGTTATCCAAAAGGCTAGAACTCCAGAATGACTTGTCATGCTGTCAGGCTCCATTCTTACAGCTTGAGAGACTCATAAGAATATTATTTTTATTTATATTCCTCTTTATAGCATGCATACCACTAATTTAATGCTGTATCCTTTCCAATTTTTTGTATCTTCATTATAGTTTCCAAATTCATAATTCAAGGCAAATATGTTTATCTTTATTAGATAATATTAAAGAATATTAAAGAAAAAGTACTTTTTTAATGCTATTCTGATCTGCATTTTGTCAGAAAAACAATAAAAAAACAATTTGCTCTGGATTATTTGATGACATAGCATCATGAAGCAGCTCACTCCTCACTCTACATGTGAACTATTTCATGAAACATAGTTGCAAAAACCAAGAAACACTTGTAATTTGCTGTTACAGAAAACATTAGAATTAATTGAATTGAATTAGTTTATTGAGATCATTATTGATTTCATAGTGATTCATTAAACTTAACTCAGAGCTTTGATGCATTTATGAGAAATGCAGTTAGTTTACTAAGCTTTTTCTAAAGTTAATGAAGATGCAATGTTTAAAGAAAATTGTTCTACATTGTTCTACATTATAGTGCTTATGCAATATAATGACATTTTATTTACTTATCTGACTTTAGTGTATTATTATTATTATTATTTATTATTATTATTATTATTATTATTATTATTATTATTATTATTATTATATGTAGTAGTAGTAGTAGTAGTAGTAGAGTTATTATCACGTGAAACAGCATTCATGCATTTTGGCCTAGAGACAAAAACACAAGCACACTGTGCCTGTCAGTGGGGGCCAGTTATCCTGTAATGGCTGCCACTGCTCATTGTTCACAGTCTTCTTTGTTTTCAGCGCCATTTTGGCTGTGTGGTAGGAGCAGCAGCTAGTTAACATCATTTCCACACACATACATGGCAGAAAGCTATAGCCATGCTAACCCTTGTTTAGCTTCTTATTCACCACCAGCATAATACGACACCCAGCAAAGCAAAAACCCAGCAGTTTTTGCCAGCAGCCTAAAATGAAAATAAATGAACTTTTATGCCCACACACAGACAACAGAGGAGCTTTGCTGTGTTTAATCTCTGTGGGTCTGTCAGCTGTTTGTTGGAATCCATCTGCACAGTGATAGTTTCTGCTAGTAGAGAGCTGCTGTGTTTTTTTTTTTTTTGTTTTTTTTTGGTGGTAGTGGTGGGCGGAGGTTCAGCGTGACAGACTATTATTTGATTTAAAAAATAAAAATAAAAAAAATGGAAAGGTAAAACTAACGAAACATCCAATTTTCTAGAAATGTTTTGCGGTAAAATTACACAGTGCCAAGAATTTCATAAGACTAAATGTAGTATTTTTAGTGAAAGGAAGGCATCGATTAAATTATTTGCAAATTTACAATTACAACTGTGTGGTTAAAATTATTTATTAAAATAAAAATATAAAAATATTTATTTTAATTATGATTTTTTTAAAAAAAAAAATCAGCTGGAACTGTACTTTAATAGAGTCATGAATGGCGATGTATTAAATTTTCCACGTATTTTGTTTTTGATGCCTTAATTATTTGCTGTTTGAACTCAAAGAATAAATATATAACATGTAAAACACATAAGATGGATGCTGAATAAAATAAAATTAATAATGCTGCTACATAAATGTAATTAATATAAATGTAGATATATTTAAATGTCGATCCCAAACACTCGTAGCAAATCCCCGGATACTGAACAAAATAATGAAGCACGCTGTGAATGTTTATATTTATTCTTTATTATTATCCCACTATGAAAATATTTGTACAATAAATAATTTAGATTTTCACTATTAAAGAATCTTAATAAATTAACTAATGTCTACATGTCGGCTCCACAGCAGGGCTTTTCGCTCAGAGTGACAACTCTTGTCAATTTAGAGATATTTTCTCCAAAGCAGTCCTGCCATCCGCATCAAGTCTCTGTGACCAGTTCCTGAGTTTTTTTTAATCCACGAAGCTGAACCCCTAGCAGAGAAGAAAAAACAAACAAAAAAATCTCATCGATTAGAAGAAGCCAAACTTACAACTTACAAAAAATAAAAACAGCCTAAAAATCCAAAGTTAAATAACACCTGATATTTCACGTCTTATTAAGGGAAAAAAATCTAGCCGAAAAAACAACGCGCAGCTTTGCATTTACAAAAAAGAAGAAAAAAAAGATTAAAAAAAAGAAAATGAAATTTGCTGACTCTTAAACCACAAATGCCATACTGAAATAATAGCGTAAATGAATTTTAGCTGAGAAAAGAACAACATTTTCATTCATAAACCTTACAGGAATTTTGCCGAGACGGTTCTTTAACGACAGTCCTGTTGGATGTTTTTCTGCTGATTGTTCATCCACAAAAGTCGCTTCTACCATGGTGTGTTTGATGTCTTTATGAAATTCCTCTTGTTGAACCGTTGCTACTACCTTCAGAAGTTGAGGTGTTGTAAATCTATGGTGCACAGTGTGCTTGTGAACAAGTCGAAGTCCTCTTCGGAAAAATCCACCGGACTATCCAGGGAGCTTTGCAGGCTGGGAGACAAGCAGGCGTCCTCGGTGAAAAGAGCCAGGTCGGATAGCGCGGTGGATGATGATGAGGAGGAGGGCGCGTGAGATTCAGATGGAGCGATGGATGAATCCCGGTGGTCCAAAAAAGACGGCTCGGCTCCCGTTGCAGTCCCAGCCCCGCTGTGGGGCCTCAGACCAGTGCTGTCAGTTGAGTTCGTCGGGGAGCGCAGAGCCGCAGCAGAGTCCGTTGAGCCATATGTCCCTGCCTGCTGCTGACTCGCACGGCCTGTGTCCTCCTGCGTGGGTTGTGCATTGTTTCCGTTGTCAGTGGATCCATAGGCGCCGGGAATAGCAGTCAAAAGCGCACCGCTCCCCTGTTCGCTCTCTGTTGTACTTTCCTCCGACGCTTCCAGCGGTTGACTGGAGTACGGGGACGACGCATCGGCCCCTTCAAGCGGCTCATATCCGCTGGAACACGGACTTCCTCCACCTCCATCCCGATGGTGCGTGGTCTGTCGCTTGTGTTTCATCCTACGATTTTGAAACCAAACTTTGACTTGTCGCTCTGTAAGATCTAAAAGAGCGGCGATTTCCACTCTCCTCGGCCGACATAAGTACTTGTTAAAGTGAAATTCCTTTTCCAGCTCCAAAAGCTGCGTGTTGGTGTAGGCGGTGCGCAGCCGACGGGACCCAGCTCCCCCGACATCCAGGCCAACCTGGCTGGAGTCTGCTAGGAACAAAAAAGAAAAGAAAATTATAAATGAAATTATTTATATATATATATATATATATATATATATATATATATATATATATATATATATATATATATATATATATATATATA